TATAATATGACAAGTCGACAAAAATGGCCAACTTTATCTGCTAGACTCGAAAGCTATTGATTCGAGTGGAATGGAACACGCGAGGCGGTTCATCTGTAAAAAATAATTTCAGAAAACTAGACAGACCTAGGAAGCACAGGAACAAGAGAAAAAGCATTGCAGTTGTAATATGTGCCACACTGCGAAAGTGTGCAAAAGTAGTGGGAGCATTGGTTGCATAGTGTAGGATAGAGTTATAGAGTTATAGGCCAACTGTCCTGTATAGAGAGATGTGAAGTCTTCCTTGCCTACGTTCTCTGAGCTCTTCTCTGATGTACAACTTTAGAGTCCCCCGAAGAAGTCTTTGAGCTCGTCTGTACAGATATGAAACCAAACACTATAAAACTAAACTGCTTATATATATTTATATTTACACAGAAGAAGGATTCAGAAGTACAGCGGAAAACTTGGATTCACGTAAGGTCGTAAGAGCTTGAGCCTCACAGAAAACCAAATCTCGTATTCCCACTAAAGCAGATCGAGGTCTGGACCTTCAGTCACATTGATTCATAATTCATCTCACAAAATGTCATATATTTGCTTCTGTTATCTGACTTTGCTCATTGCAAAATGCTCATTTCTATGCAAGATGGACGATTGAGCTATCTGAGAGAACAGCCATCTGAGAGCTTATAGGTGCACTAGACGTCGGCATAGGTGACAAAGACAACATTCTGATAGTCACACAAAACTTTAAGTGAATCTACTTCGAGATTGGATGTGCCTATCAGAGGTCTCACACTGTAAGTTTCAATGCACATCGAAGAGTTCCAAATCAAATTGTTCTGAACTTTTAGTGTTCAGATACAGGTATCTGACAGATACAGGTAGAAAAAGGTTCGAGATAGAACTATTTACTGTGTATTCTTCACACGACTCGCTTAGTTGCACAAACTTTTACAAACGGCCGTACTATACAATATGTTATCACCGTTTGATTACAAAAATTACAGTTTGAACACTAGGGATTCCATATGAGCTATCCCTCTTGCGATTCAGTTTTAGTTTTTAGTTCCCGCAACGTTTCAAGACACGACCGCAATCATTGTTACGGCGTAGATCATTGCAACGCAATAGATACAACGTTGCAGCCTCTACAGTGACGGCCCCTCTTCTACATGGTTGTTGGAATTTCATCCGGTTGAGTGCATCTACATGGTTGCCGGAATGTATAGTCCGCCGACCCTCCCCGCATAGTGTTCTTATAGTCCATCGTTAGATCCGTCTGCCGGAAATCACTTTGATGCTCCACCGGAAAATTGAGTGCCAATGAAAAACCTGCCCGGTTAGCCTGCCCGCACATTCTTCCATCTTTGGTCCAAAAGAGGAGAGTCGCAGCGAAAAGAAGAACTTCCGTCACGGATCACTGCAGGATGACACCTGCCTGGGTCTATGAAGGCCCTATATAGGGGCTATGTATAAGTTTGTGCAGCTAAACCCGTCCGTCTATGGTTCACAACTTCTGACTCATACATGTGGTATATTGGGATCTCAAGTGTATATGGAATTTAACCGGAGAGTTATGGTGTGTCTAGGTCATGAAATTATTCCATCCAATTACTCCATAGTCACATATTCTTTCTAATATTCATAAATATTTCTCTAGCTTTACAAAAGTGTATTTTATGCTTTTTAATTTCCGTCTTTTTCTTATATATATATATATATATATATATTGCATGTGCTATACGTTCTTTTTAAATTTGATTTGAATCATTCAATAATTTTGTTCAAAGAAATTCTTTTACTTGTGATTTGAACATATCTGGATCTCATGTGAGATACTGCATAGTTCAAGATCAACAATAAATCACCTTTGGCAACGTCTAGGTCCTTCATCATGAAAGTCAACCTGAAACATATCTATCTTTATCTAGTGTGCATGCATTTTTTCCTAACATTGCAAAAGGCTTTAGGCTGAGATTGCAGGAATATGCTTATTAGGACTGACATTCATTCAAGGACCTCCACTGCATCAAGTTCTTCATACTTGTATTAGCTAGCTACGACGATTGAATTCAGTACTTAACATTGGCAATTAAAAAAATACAATTGGTTTGTAACTTCTAAAAGTACAAATTTTCACTGTTCTATTTAGTGCGTCACAAATTTCTAGTATTCTTTGGTTTATAAGCTATCGGACTATGGATGATTCGAGTATCATGTGTACGATCGAGGAAGTATGGGTTTGGACAAGCGTGAAGTACACATCAGTGTGTAATAAAAAGGGTCACCCCCTTGCTTAAGGTGGACCGTGGAACGGTCTCTTCAGAATGTGAAAATTATGTTAGACTCCAATCAAATCTAGTTCCACAAGATGCACCAGTTACCGGGAGAGGTGATAATTTTACAAATGTAGTCTCCTGCTGACTTGAGTGCTTCGAGTAAAAGGCTGTGGATATCAAATGACCCAGAGCTTCATGGCTACATGGATAAATGCTGCAGATAACCTTGAGATGGATGGCGTCATAAAGAAGATAGGAAACTTCCATGCCTGTACATGCATGAAGGATGGGAGAAATTGACACAACTTGAAGCATTTTTAGAAGTTTTGACAAGCACTCCCAAAAAATGTTATACCGGAATAAAATAACAGAAATGATGTGAGGATCCCGATCAACTCGTACAGAAATGTATCCAAACGGTTAACATGGGGCTAGGCCCAAATAGATTTTTTTTGTCCCAACTTTGTTAATTCTTAATATTTCTATTGGGAGGTGACTATAAATTTCTCATGATTTTAAAGACGTTATGGAAAGATATCACTTTCTATATATGATGTGAAGCCGTTCACTAGAGCTGCCTTGATGCCTTTCAGCATGATCCTATATTGGTGTAGTATTTTGCAATAAAACAAGCGGTTGTATCAGTAGTAAGATCTCTGCCCTTGGAGATGTCATGCCAATGGCAGTCATCGTATAATCTAAGAGTATAGAAACTCATACAGTATTTGTACCAAATCTTCCAATTCAAACCTCAAATATTATTAGAAAATGTTTTATCTTGACGGAGATATTTTCTGTTGTGGAGTACTCTATGAAAAAAGTCATCAGTACCCCAACAAATTTTTGAAATAAGACAAAAAGTGGGACAGGCTTGTTTTGAAACCCATTACATCTTGATTTTTTATAGACTTTCGAATGTGACGGTCTGTATGTCCATCCAATTGGATTGCATTTGACTTACACAATATGATTCAATGCCTATACCTTATTTATTTATTCATATTATTATAATTTAACATTAAATTTTTCATTTTGCTACGAACAAGTTGAGACCCCTAATGAGATTTAAAAATCGAAGACGTGCTTCTTGAGCTTTAATGATTTCTCCGAGGAGGAAGATGTGTTGGTTTGAGGGTCCGAGTCCACCAAATATCTTTTGACCAAGACCTTAGAGAATCCATCCAGAGAGACGATCGTGGGCTCCATTCCCACCGAGAAGGCTGATGAGTAAGATGACAGCAAATGAGACGCCATGCAACTTCTCGTTGACCACCGTCTTGATGATTTCGCAGACTGTAATCTCCATTCGGCGGCTTCACGACCATTACAACCTTTTATAACAAACAGGAACTTTTAATAAGAGTCATACACTTGACCTGGAGTCGCATCCCCGAGCTCATATAAACATGCACGATGGAGTGGCATCACCGTTATTGTTGAGCTAGTTTTAACCTTTGAGCTTGACTTGTTTTACACGTTGTGGTTCCAGATTTTACTATTTTCCAGCAAGTGGAGAGTTCAGTCAAGGTTTTCATGTACATGGATATGAAGAGATAGTTGGCTTCTGTGTTAGTCTAAAATTGGAGTACGAAGGAAAGTAACCAAAAAGTATGCGATGATCCCTCCAAGTGGAACATTGTACGAAAGCAAGTTGTCAAGAGGGTGCTAGTTACTATACTAGCGTAGCCAAATAGCAACACATTGAGTGATAATCACATTGCATCTAAGATGTATATTCAAATGGTACACAAATATCATGTTCATGAAAGATTTTTCACAAACTGAATTTTTTCCATAGGGATCTCATATGTTACTCTTTCCAATAGAGGATTTAAATAAGAAAGCTAAATAATAATATTTTTTGTTAAGAAGCTATGTTAAAAAAACTGTAATAAATAATAATTCATGTAATATATGGTAATTGATTAATGCACACCAACATGTCAAATCGATACCAATGATGTTAAATGAAATAAAAAATGGAAGAAAGATAAATAAAACTGAAAAAGTGGACCCATATACTTTGAAAATCTAATTATCACATATCCAATGATAGCTCATATAAGACTATGGATAATTATGCTCATTAAAAATCGTGTCAAAACTTACTTTGCGTGACAACTATGTGTGGGTAAGTAACGTGATTCTTTGAAAATCGTTTGCTCAGAGAAATCAACTTCAAGAACATATCACTACTTCTCACATCAAGAGGTCAACTACTCATAAGAACATATGATGTATTTGAAGTACTATCCTAGTTTTCACATGAGAAAAATGATAATAGAAATACCAAGTTGGAAACTCGTACGGGTTGAAAGAATAATTGGTACATATAAAAAATGTATTGAAAAGATGCATGGTCAAACCAAGATCCATGAATCATTGCAATATCATGTCTACGACCTAGTTGTACAAAAATGACCTAGTACTCTACAAATAAGTGTGAAAGTTATTGCAACTATTGTTCCATACGATGGAGTATACTAATCCAGTCGACAGTCAAAGAAGTGAAAGACTTATTTACCTGTATCTCGATTTAACAATTGAAAGACATAGTATAAATGCAATTACAAATCTCAACTTGTATATATCGTTCACAATAAATCACTAGATTGAGAATCAATCTAAAGAATCATTCTTTCAGTACTCAAATCTGATTTTTGAACATCCACTCAACTTCACCCAATACTACCAAATCAATTTAATTCACATGTGAATATGAGTTAGTTGCATGAGTACCTATTTCCTGTTCGGTCCAGATCTCCTCATCCCTTGGTCCACTCTACCCCAGAAGAAATAAAAATAAAAAGTAGCTGTCAAGTTACTGAAATGATAGATGACGTGGCTTTGGCTTCCTCTGTGCAAATGGAGGTGCCAGTTCGCGCTGAGCAAAGATTTCGAGGTCCCGGGCTTTAGGACTTGAAATCGACATTTTCATTAATTAGCCTTTTGCAGGGGCGGACATTCGGGTCGATCTGAGCATCCTGCGCCAGAAGAACCTTCCATTCTCTTCGCACGACGAGGCTTCGCTCCGACCTCGAATCGCCGCCCGCTCGAGCATTTTGTTGGCCCCAGGAATCGAGAACGAGGACATTGGATCGGACTGGATAAGATTCGATCCGCTCAATGTCGACGGATCGCTTTCACGTGAGACATTGTGGCGCTCGTCGAGTGTGCAAGCCCTACGGAGCAGCTGCTGCTGCTGTTGTTTGGCCATTCGGGAAGCTCGACATGCTCGAACCCGGAAATGTCCTCCAGGCTTCTCAATTTGCGAGCGCAGATCGTGCACGTGACGCAGCTCTCTGGCGATGACTATGACTGTGACAATGCCATGACACACGTGGCGAATATGAATTATGCGCAGCAAAAGTGCTGGCCCAGATTGGCCTTTCTCTGGCGGGGAAAATGCGGCAGATTGTGAAGCGAGCTAGCGCGAGAGAGAGAGAGAGAGAGAGGGAGCTCTTTGCTGGCTCGATGGCTTCCACTTCTGGATGCCCAGGGGCATGGGTTGGGCTAATTTCTGGAAGAACCAAGATTCATTTGCTTCGACGAGTTGGGCGCCAAGATAGGTCATGGCGAACATGGAAGGGACACGGTGAACAGATGCGCGAACTCTTGTCGGTCACGAGGTCATAGTCTTGTCGCTTTTGGTTCACGTGTGACGGTCAAAGGTGATTAGCTGTTGATGGTTCTGCTGCCATCTCATGGTGTCTGGATGCTACGGATGCTTTGCTTGGTCAAAGGTGAACTTGACAGATGGTGTTCCTGACGAAGAGAGCTTGTCACCGCACAATCTATTCAGAGAAACGTCACTTTTCGTCCATTCCATTCATGCCTCCACACTTTCTCTTCGAGATGCAACCTCATTGCCATCCGAGATTCCCAAGTTTCTCTGCCGATGACTCGTGACGTTTTTGAAGATTTCCAAGGAACTTGTCATATCGCATTGAAGCTTCGGACTCAGCAACTCATCGTGCAGTAGTACAGTTGCACGCACTGTTATGGATTAGCTTTAGAAGCTGAGAAGGCTTCTTTCCCCAGGACCATGATTGACTGTCAACAGAAGTTTCTTCATTGACCTTTCAATGACAATTTCGCCAATTTTTTCATTTACCGAAATTGGCCAAATTTTCGACCCGGACCTTAGAATCATACAAAATTCCAACTCTGCACACATGCAACGGGCGTATTTTTTTTATATTGTTCTTACACGCAAGATTGGCCAGAAGTTTCGAGTTTCTGCTCGCAACCATATAATATATAGAGCAATTTACTTCGACGCTTGTTTACTCGTTTTTGTTCTTAAACACGGAACCTTTCTCTGTAAAGGTTACGGAGATCAATGATTAATTTCAAGTCAAGAGACAAGCTAAAATCTCCGACCACAACGTAGCAGTAGAAAGATATATGCTGTTACTTTGATGAGCTACGAATTTAATAATTTCATTTTTCTTAACTTGTAATATATAAGTAAATAAAATGAGAAGAAAGATGCTCTGCTAGAATCTAATATATATAGTGCGTGGCTAAGTGGTATGGCTGCAGCTTTTGCTCCTGATAATTGGTTGTGAAACTGTATAGCGTTGGAGGAAACCCTATGGGAAAATAGCTCAGCGTCAGCATGCGAAACTCAGCGGTTGAGCTTACCCTTCTGCCTGAGCTCTTAGTGATAACGGACAATTTAGAATTAAAATCTCAATTTATTAGTGGAAAAATGTGTATTTTTGGATGTTAATCTTCCTACAAATTCTCTAGATAGGAGTACGAACTGGCTTTGGGATTATTTAAAATTTGACCACGAACTTTCCAGATCGATTTGATTGTGCATCTGCCTGCCTCGGGCATGGTCCGTGTCCCCATCGTGCATGCTTCCGTGACAGTGATGTTACCCTCGTTCGGTCCGTGGGTTTTCCATTACTTTGCTTGACTACAGCTCAGAAGAACATACTTGGAGAGACGATTCGGCAGTACCGGCCGTCGCGGTGACATCGATTTGATTCTCGCGAATTTATCATTAATCATATTGCCCACGATTTGCCCATTGCATTCTTCTCTCCATCACTTGACGCAGCATCAAATTTTCTTTCAACAACCTCCACGTAAGTTTCCCTTATTATTTTTCTATTTGGATGCACCGCCGTCGTTACTCATCTGTGCTACACTTACCAGAAGCAGAGTAGACAGCGTACGTGGTCGCAGTCCATGAGGCAATGAGACATTGGGTGGGTAATAAACGGAACGTCCTCCGCAACTTCCTGTCAACCTTGAACCAGTTACATCTGAAGCTCGTAACGAGTACTCACTGAAGTGAGAAATTCCGTATTTTAAGGAAGATCCGAAGTTTCGAAGAGCTTATATTCACAGGGGTACCCGGGTACATGGCGAGAAATTTGCTTGATGGGACCATCAGAACGCTGGGATCCAATACGTGGGACCGATGGACCTTCCGACGGGTCACCATCGGTTATATTCTTGTAATTGATTTATTTCCAATTCAATGAAAAATTAATTTTTCCCAAATTGAAGTTAATCAGATTTTTCACTCCCAATCTACATAGTGGAATAGCCCAATTTTTTGAGTTTCATAATGATTTTACAATTATAGTGTATAGACATAATCTATTTACTCTTTACTTTTTTTTCTAAATCTCTTGGTCAAAATCATGTCTGTTGTGAATTTTGGTCCGAGAATAACATTTCACTTTTCAATGTTGTGAATTTTGGTCCGAGAATAGCATTTCACTTTTAAACGAAGAGCCTCAGTGTTTTTCCTACCTCGGTTTGAAAGCAATTACAAAAACTCGCAGTAGAACAGTGGATTGAATTGCCGTCGGAAGGGTCCCATCGGGTAAAATGGAACTTATTGGGTCCCATCAAGTACTGAACGTTCTGATGGGGTCCCATCAAGCAAATTTCTCGGTACATGGCATCTTCAGATACAATTTCGTAAAAAGTGACTTTGTGGGTTCGCACTATCTGTAGTTCCGGCAGAGTACGTGTACTAAGTTTACTGCGTGGTCCAGTTTCCATAGATTCGGATTCCGGTTTAAACCCCCTTCAGGCTAATAACAACTTCCTGAACCCTTCGTTAATATTTGCTTCAAAGTGCGGCTTGAATTTCTACGCTGACCACATAGATACCGTCAAGCAAAAAAACAGGATGTCATGAGCTCAGTCTTTGAGACATGGCCGCGGGAGATGTGTTCACGTGGTGGCTGAATCAGGATATTAGGAGCAAATTTAGTGCAGAAGATAAGCACAAAACGTATGAATTTCCAAAACCTCATGCATACACTTCTGCCTCAGCTTGATCGACGAACTGCTGTAAACAGGGCCACTGTGAAACTTGGCTTGATTCTCCAACATTGAATCATCATTATAAGAAAGGTGAAGTCCAGTAGGAAAAGACTTCAGTGCCGGGATATGGCGACAGCGCCGGAGGAACATTTGTTCAGCATGATAACCCAGTTCAAAATACGGTGTTGTTCTACGAAACTTGGGTCTCCAAATAAGGCCTTCATAATCGTCTTCGCAAGGTCCGCAGAACTATGCGCGTAGAGGGCCTGCAATGATAATGGAGCCGCGGTAGATAAAAATGAGTAAATGTAAATCAACCAGTAACATCTTATCTGGATGTATATGAACTAGTGCTTAAGTACTAAAGGCGACGACCATCACACCTCAACCATTCTGCCATTGTACAAAACTCAGTGAAACAGCATCTCCTTAGAAGCATCACCGTGGGAAGTGACACTGCATATATACTAGTACTCACCAATTTTCATAATCCCTTTCAGGTGTCGCAAAAGATCGGACGGGAGTAGGGCTTCAGAAGTGCATTGTCGTCCCCTGCTGGCACCAGGTTTGGAATGACAGTCAATTGCCTTACAAGATGTCTAACTTTAAGAACGCTATCTCGCAGGCAAGTACGAGCCAGATTCAAGGCCACATAGAAAACAACAAAGCAATGCACCTCATGCGAAGTCTGCAAAGTTCGATCCCTATAGAAGGGAATCAGTAAATTACGGTCATAGCTTGTAAACCACAGACTTGGCTAGTGACAGAAGAAGTGAGGAAGATATGACGAAGAAGGTGAAAGGATAAGATAGGGCTATTTATTTGAGAGTATAAGAGATAATTAGTGTAGAGAGATTGTCCCTTTCTATGTTGTAGGATCAAAGTCGACCAAATATTCTTGACAAACTTCAGCTCCTCTTTGAGTTCGAAACCCAGTTAATAGTGCACAAAAGAGCGGCAGAATTGGATTCGAAATTACTGCTACTTCCTCAAGTTCCGGGTCAACAAGTTACAACGTTTGACCCCAAGCTTTTGTAAAGATCCCGGAAGACATCACAAACTTCAATCCACTAGTGAAAGGACCTCTCCTCTTACATCGGAATTATTCAATTTCTTGTCATAGTGAATAAATCATGTAGAAAGGCGCCGAAAGAGACAGTAGACAAGCTGTAAACTTGACAGCGCATTTCAGCATACATATACCGTTCAAGCTTTAAATGATTACTTGTATCGTTGATTCTCGTTGACTAAAATAAGCTTCTCAAATCAGAGTATTTCAGTTCTGTCCGCAGAACAACTGCAAAATGTGCACAATAATACAGCAAAGACATGTCCGTTGCAACCAAAGTTTACCGTATGAAACGTTTAAGTCTCCATATGTCAGTGCAACCCAACGGACAGATGCGTTTTAATCGTACGTGAGCGTCCTCGCTGCTTTACATACCTTGGTGTCACTCCTCTGAGTCACTGGTATCATAAGACGAGCAGAGAGCACGAAGACCATGATCAACCGGTTCCTCATTGTCTCTAAATTGAGCTCCAGAGGGTTTGTCCTTTGAATCCTCCTCCATCTGATTGGCTCGTACAATTTTAGTCTCCTCCTTTGTGGCGGTAGTACCATTGGAAGCTTTCGGCTTGATTGCAAACTTGACTGCCATAGGTCTTACTGCAAATGCCGCCCTCACCTCGCCTGCCTTGGCCTTCGGCTGCTGACCTGATCACCGACGTACAGACAAATATTTTCAATTATGAGATTCTCTGAGACTCAAAATTCATTTACACTCTCTTGCCGACTGACATGATGTCGCGAAATATAGAAACTGCTATGAAGGTATGAGAAACTCGTACTCTTTATTCGTTCTGAAGAGGATCTTACGTGCGATCTAAAGCTCGTCGATGTATGGCTACAGTATGTTGCTTAATTAGGGTCCATCTGTTATCATGAGATACATATTTGTAACACTCTTCTGGATATCATCAAAGGACCAAAGATGCTTACTTTCAAGACTTGCTTCTGGTATATGATCCACTAAAGTCTTCGCTGCTTGTGACGGATTTAAGTCACTCTCTTCGCCTTCTTTTTCTGCCGATTCCCCTTTTCTCCTCTGAAACAACACAAACGGAGATTGTTTGTTACAGACAAGAATAACATGATTACCTCTATTCAATACTTTCTATCCACGCATCGCGGATAAATTCAAATCTCTTACCTTTCTTTCTTGCAACTGCAGTTCTTCCTCGTACTCGTAATCTGAATCCTCTTCAAACTCTTCGTCGTCTAAACGCCATACAAAATTTGAGGAATTCTGTTGTAAAGGTGGCAAGCCCATCAAGTTAGAGCTATATAAGTTGAAAAGTCCATACCGTTCAACTAGAAATGAAGTCCATGAGAAAGAAATTGCTAGAGAAAACTTGGCAGTTCTTCGATTCTAATCATCTCCAAAAGAGTTTGAGCAGCTTTTATTAAAAAAACACTGATTCAAGCAGAGAATCACAGACACTCACCTGGAAGACAACAGAGCGCAATAAGGCCTCGTCTTCTTCTGCTAACTGCTTATCCTGCATCATCATTCAGGTTAAATCAGATTAATGACCACTGAACGAAACGATTCTCATTTTCATATCACAACTTTGGATTGCATGAGCAGATTATGCCAACGGTCATTTGCCTGAAACTGATATTTACACAACTCTCGTTGTATTCTTTGTAAACCCCCATGCATCCTACCACACGCAAGGTTCCCTCTACCTGCTGACCCCAGCCATACCTGGGGTACCAAAGGTTGGATTCATATTCCAGCATACCTGCTAAAGCGCTTGCATGAATGACAGCTCTCAAAATGTGAATCTTCTAATAAGTAAAGGCATATATGCGCAAGACAGAATAATCATCATACTGCAACGACAGCTGCAAGATTAGATTCAGTAGGGCTTCACATATACATACCTTCGACTCTGCTGTGCGTCTCAAGGCCTCCAGCATTTCTGTCGTACCAACACTTGCATGACGTGCCTGTACGGAATGTCAATACCTTATTTCAGCATTTCAGTTCAATGTTTCCAAGAATGTAACTGAAAGAAACTCAACAATCACACTCAAGGATTAAAAAGGGGAAGCAAGAAGACGGATTATGTAAAGTTCAGGATACAGGAGGTAGAAAAACATACCAAAAGTTCTCAAAGCCTTTGACTGGACAACAAGAACTATGGATATAATACCTTCTATGAAAATGTGAGAACATGTCAAATGTCTACCATGAACATAAGAAGATATTTGTGCAGACAGAACAACATATTGGCATACGCGTTTAAAAGTCGACTAAGTCTTCAGACCTACATACCCTCATGGACTTCATTTCGTCAAGAGCTGCAAGGATGTCCATTTCTTGTTTAGAATCCAGGGTGCGATTTTCAAGAGCCTTCATAGCGTCACCCAGCTCTTCTGCATCTCGCTTCTTCTTCGCGTCATCCAGGGCCTGTTGCAGGACAAAGTTCAGAATTTCCTACCATTCACCCAAAGAAACAGAAAAAAACGAAACAAAAAAAAAAAAATCATACGCTTAAAAAGATGCAATGCACCGTATCCAAAAAACTTGTTCCAGTGGTAAACTAGACCTGGATCGCTTCTCGTCTTCCCAGCGTATTTCCTAAATCGCTTCAGTAGGTCATTGAGAACATTATCGCTGCTCTGGCTCAAACAAAACATTGGAGTCGGACTATACCTCATCTGCAGCTCGCCACGGTTCGAAATTCCGAGTTGCTCCAGTCTCCATGACATAATCACTGTTTTGAGGATCTGTCATCATTGTGAGCTCAGCCGAGCATCGACTACATTTGAAATAAAATCTCAAAATTTGAATGCCCAGATACGTCTGCAACAGACAAAAAGCAAATATTAGGCTTTCTTTAGATACACGGCGACCAAGTAGCGAATTAGAGGTGTCTTTACAACAAATGTTGCATATAATTGAGAACCTTACTACTACTCCGTCAGAACAGCAGAAGAACGTTTCAATGGAATATTAATTGGAAATAGTTCAGGGGACAAGCAAAACCTCTCCGACGACGTCCTCCTTGCGCGAATTAAACTTTGTCCCCTTGTAGATGTAATTTCCGCAAGTGTTGCACCTGATACTCATTGGCAACATCATGCGAACTTTAATCTGCTGGTTTTTAGGCTGCCTGCGCCTCGGGATCTTGGCCGGATCAAAATCAGGCGGGTAATACTTGTTTAAAACCTTCCGCTCACCCATATTTCCTTACTTAAGCTGTCAACTTCAGATGATTACAACGCGCTCTCTGAAGCATTCAGCAACGAGCGATTCTACTAGACCAGGAATCGCAACCTCTGATAATTACAACCGAAACTCAGGACTGATGACCCCAGACGCAACACAGGACTGCGCCCCCAGATTCCACGAGTCTAACACCAAACTCAACCTCCTCCTTCAAAAAGTATCCGCAACCGTCCTTAAAATTGCTCTTTCACTTCGAAGAAACGCGTTCTACACAAACTCGTCGGAAGTGACGGAAATCGTACGTCGTGGAGGAGCAAACTTGATAACTGAAAAGACTGCAAAAAACAACAATGAGAGAAATGTTCAGCGCATAAGCAGGACCGTGAACGCAAACAGAGAGCGTCAGCAATAGATGTATCTGGAGGAAAGTCCAGGAACAACAAGCGGTTTCCCTCCAGTCATCCCTACGATCACATTCTAGGAACTGCTCAGTGGACAAGAAAAAACTTCTGGTCTTAGCTAAGAAAGATCCACTATCAACCGAAGTAAAACTACGCATACTGTCAGCAGATGAAAATAGCAGCCTTAAACCCTATCCGTGTTGTCTATCTCTGAAACAACTTTTTCCATTCGAAAATGTAAATAGAAGGGAAATATTATCTTCGTATGCTGTACATTATATAGGGCTAAATAGCTCCCCACCTTAAACGAGTATCCTTTGATCCTTAAATTTAAATTTACTTCACTGTTATGAAACAGCAGCGGCCAAGAGTTTCCTGAAACTTTCCTACTGTTGCCATAGGGATGCCTGTTTTCTCTGTTCTCTTTCGGTTCAGCAATTAGACAAGGCAAGCAACAAGGGTCTCTTCAGGATCCATAGTACATCCTACGGGCTCAAATGAAATTCATTTGTTCCTACTTAAACCAAAATAGAGATGCTAGAAAGTAAATGAGGAGTGGTATCATGTTCAGCCATAGAACTCTGGATACCGAAGTTTGTGGAAGACTTGCTGTACTATACCCATCCTCGTGCTGTGTGACCTTAATATATAACAGTCAAATGTAGTCCAGTAGTGAGTAGCAAGATTTGCAGTGAGTAGCGAGATTTGATTCATAGGATAGCCTTTCCCTTGCCTACATAAACCTGGGTATGGAATTCGGATATATGGTACACAAAATCATCAACATATCCTCTGATAAATCTAAGCTTCTAAATCGTTACTTAACTCTCCTAGTCCGATTCCTCCCACCATGAAATCTAATTGGTATGAAAACTTATTAAAAGTGGCCAAAAATCGGCAAAATTTATCTTCCCAATCATACCAACGAAGAGATGGTCTTTAAGATAATTTAGGCCTATCCTCCTCTATACAGGTAAAGGAAAAAAGAAGAAGCAGTGTAAACCCTCCAACATGAAGACTAAAGCACATACATAAGAGATATCAGCTCCAGTTGAGAAGAAAACATACGGCAAACACCGACAAGCCGTAACGGGAGAATATGAGCAGGGAGACATTACGGTCGCGCTAAGAATCAACAGCATGCATTTCTCGACATTCCTAGGTCGAAACTCCAGAGTATTAAGAAACACGCTCTGCGCGCTTTCGAATTGTGTGCAAAGGACCACTCGTGGACTATTAGTTTCTCAAATACAGCACCTTATTCTGACGGTCGGCTAATTCTTGCGTGCATTCCACGACAAACTCGCGGGTGCCACGGTGCGACAACGACGTTCAGCAGCATCCTATCATCCGTCCTTGCACAGGTCCCACCTCTTAAGCCTCGATCGTCACAGCAACAGGTGACATATTTGCGCAATTTGACGATCACCAGCTCCCGAGAGCAACTAAAATTCTGAAGCGGAAAGAATTCCGCATCAGACTCGAATCGAGCGCTCCAATTCTTCCAATTCTTCCAATTCCTTCGTCGTGAGTTCAGGGTTCGTGTGGGGCCCGTCAAAACATTTCCGTGTTGCAATGAGGCCGAAATCAGGCTAAAGGTGTGATATTTAATTTTCTCATTACACTGAGTCACGAATTGGGTACCTGCAGTTTTGGTACCCATGGATTGTGAAGATATGATTGGCCCCCATTAGGGAGTAGTACTACTGATCACAGGATTTGATCCGGCTTACTATTTTGCACACTTGCACCATGCACTTATATTCTCGAAATCGTTCACCATAAACGTCTCATTCATTATCATCTCATTCCTCTTTGACCTTGACTTGGAAAGTTAGGAGAAAGTGTTCTATAGCCTCTCTGAAATCAAAACAAAAAAATGTACCACATTCAGTCCATTGCTGTTTTGATTCTTGCAATCTGAAATAAAAGAATCACATGATTTTATGACTTTGTGGCTGACCATGTCATGTGGTTTAATTATTTAGATGTAAATTACATGCTATGTTCTTGGGTAAATATGTAATATAATTAAAAAAAGAAAAATATTTGAAGATATTTAATGATAAAGCAGGCTATGTTGTTCATTAATTTATCATTTTAATATTTTACAATAAAAATTATAACTATAATATAAACCTTGTAAGTTTTGCAATCTTGCAAGTTGATTCTGAAACACTAACGTTGAACGCCGTTAATTATGTACCTGATTTTATCTGTCGAATGACTTTAAGAATCGAAGTATATGTCATCTATCATTTTAGATCATATTTTTGCAATTTTTCTCGTAGAAAATAAAAAAAAGCATTCACATACATATGTTGCTGATGTTATCTGTCTAATGATTTTAAGTGCTTCACATTGCTCCTGCGTTGGATGCAGCGTTGTTTGTAACTGGTTTAATTATGATATACGGGACATGGAAGATGTTTTACGGTATATTTGGCTAGATTATGGTGAAAGGTCGAATTTTATTTTTATAATTTTGATGAAGTCTTCCCAAAATTTTTGATATCAAATCGGCATACATTAAGTAACATAACATGAATAATAGATTGCAAAGTAATCATTTCTCTACAAAGCAGAATTACCATGTCTGAATGCTAAAAATTTTCAATCTTTGCAAATTGGGTTGCATAAGTTTGTTTCTTGGTCATACCAAAATAGATGGTATTGTCAAACGATTGAAAATATTTGTTCAAAATAAACACAAAATCACGTCGCATTCATAAACTTAGGTATTATTGATTAGCTAACCTCTATAAAGCTTCCACCAAGATTTTCAATAAATTCATCTTTTGGAAGGGATAAGATCGTTAATGTGCTTCATTTCTTTCAGAACTTGCAGTTTTCTTACAATTATAAATGCCAAAGTATCATGACAATGTGAACAAGTGTCAATTTTTCAATGGTCATGCAATGAATACTTCAAATGTGATGTTCTTATGTATGAGATGTTGTTCTGCGTAGCTGATATTGACCTGACAGTGCATTTCCCATAATACAAGATTTGTACACGTTGGTTTCTAGATAAGTTATGATAAATATAAAGGTGCTCTTTCAAATTCTCCAATTTTGATACTGTGTGTGATTAAACACAACTAAACAGTAAGTTATAGACAAACTTTACTCAAATCTTTTATAATGGGATGAAGGTAGTCCACTAAACACTCCAACTTTCGTCTCCCTCCTACATCTTCCTCTCCAACTTATAACTTGTGTCTCTCCGCCAGGGCTTGCATTATATGTGTTCAGGCTTACACAAGCCAATCCCAATGAATACTGTTTACTAAATGGGGGACCTGGTACCCGAAAGGATCTTATTCTTTTCAGCATTAGACACTGAAATCTAACGAGAGTCATTGGAACAAAACTGGTCATACAAATACCGGCCGGGCTCATGGCGGTCACACTTTCCAGTTGCCGCATCGCACTGGCCCGCAAACACCAAGAGACTCCTGGGATCACGGCAAAATTCAACACTAGTAAATATTTTATTCTTGTCCAGCGGATCGCCTCGCCTCAGGAAATAGGGAACTCTCACATGAGACCCAATTATCAATGGAAACTCACTCATTTCCTAAACCGATAACATATGGGAGGGGCTAGTTTTCACTCACTTTAGTCTAATTATACTTCACGTTACTATATTATGGTATGTGATTGGTCAGAAATGATTTCGACAGAGAGATATAGTGTTCGAGAAAAGTAGTGCACAGCATCGAACATTAGGTTAGGGTGAGAGATAATTAACCTAAAGTGAGTGATAACTAGCCACTCCCTAGCATATTACCAATCACATCAAAGATAAAACGTGGAATGCAAACAAATTATTTTTATTCGAACCTGACTGGAAAAAATGGTACACACTTGATTGATATTTATTCCTCAGTGACCAAGGCTTCAAAGAAGGGTCGTAGTACAATGGGAGGCATGCAGACAATATTTCCTCAATTTTTCATGAATCGTCGACCAAATGAGAGTCCCTATCGGGAAAATATCTCATTTTGACCAATCAGCAGATAACACGGCCATCAGGAACTGTACTTGTAGAGATCAGGATCCACACCTCGGAAAAAACGTATTGAAATAGTCCTGTATGGACCATAAGTGCACACTTAAATGCTAACAATGTATGCAACAAGATTACAATGTAAAGTTCAGTTCCTCTGTCCTACATCTTGATCGTTAAAGTCGGCTGGGGTTCAACTTCGGCGAAAGAAATCAACCACTTCCTAACATGTTGTATCCATGTAGGCTACAAGTATGTCTCCAACGGTTCCCCTATCTGGCATTTTAGCAGCAGCTCCATAAATGGGTGCCATGCCATCTTCAAACTTCCCGGGATTTTCTTTCACCTGCCAGTGATAGCATCAAGTAGTGATATTTAAACTTCTGCTGACAAATTTGACGACTCACTTAAATTTCATACCTACTTGGATAGAAGAATGCATGAAGAAAATTTTTGCACACTTTCGTCGCCATTTCACATTCCCAAATATTTTGAGAACCAGGAAGGAAAGTCCAAGAGGTCAAGAGCACTTACAATATTAACTGACTCCTCTAAATCTTTCAAGAACATATCCTCCACATCTACATGTTGCAACGTCACACATATATGGATGCTGCAATACAAGATACGCGTCAGTGATCAAGAGAAAAGACTGAGAAATCACTTGAGAACAAGCGCTCCGCTTCTACACAAGGTCAGACACAGATCTATGTGAGGAAAATTTTTATCCCTTGGTCCTTACAAAGCCAAAACAAGTCACACAATGGTTACGGAGCTTCTATGATCGTACTGCGCACCGCTTCTTGCAAAGCCTATAAAACTTTCGAATGCCTGGAATATTTTTCCACGCAAAGACCGACCCTGATTTCTAACTCTTATACCCACAACACTTGAGGGAATGTTTGAGAAAAAGTGAAGCCCTCCAAGAGCAATTGAAAATTGCGGAGTAAAACAGTTCGTCTGGGATTCTTTAAGTGACATGCTTGATTGGTTAAGGATCTGCCCTGTTGAGGGCCCAGCTTGGTTCCAACTTTCTAATATTTTCTTTTGAAGAACTGTGGACATTATAGCAAGACCAACGAGACCTCTGCATATTGCTTCCTTTAAGAGTTATCTGCAGCAATCGTGAAACTGATCTCCTAACATCTTCACAGAGGCTACTCGTTCTCTAACTATATGAGAAAGTACTATTGAAGAACAAAAGGAACTGAAGTGTATTCCACAAGACTTTACTAGACAATTATGATACCTTGCTGGTCTGTGCAAAGCATTGAGGCTCCATCCCCTTGAGGCCATGACGTCGTTCACTTTGTAAATATCCAAGTCATTAGACCCGAACGCAACAACCGTCATATCTGGCTTTCCAAGAACGTATAGTCCTGGAATTAGACTAATTCTGCACCAGATGCAAAGCGAGGATCAGGACAAGCAACTTCTAGATTGACAGACAAATCAAGAGTGATTTAATGTGGACACCTGAAGTTTGAAGCATTACAAGACTTTCACTATCAGCATGTCATAGCTTGAAGACCATAGAACTGGCACCCTAGCTGAGAGCCACTACTGAGGAAGTATGAGGAGAAAGCAGCTGAGAGGGAGTATGGTGGAGGAAGGATGCAACTATCATGAAGTGAAGAGGGTCTATTTTTTTAAAAGGGAATCGTCCCCGTGTATGAGGTTTACTCGAAGTGTCTGAGTGCTTGAAAATGGGTTCATCGTTCAGCCTTGTACCCTTTCTGTATCCTTTGAGAAGTATCCATAACTTTTCTCACAGAATCCAGGTAACCTACAAAAAGAAATGTGACAGGAATCAGAACATAAAACGGATTAAACATTTGAATGCCACAGCACCTAAACACGTGGGGTGGCAACTTGAATATCACGGGAAGTAAATGATAACCTTTCGCAGTGACCGTGTTCTAAGGCAGAACTTTATACAAACCTTCTTCTCCTAAAGCCATCATAGACGCCCAGGCTCCGGCAATTAAAGCGCCAGACCTGCTTCCCGCCATCGACGGCGAAATATACAATCCACCTGACCAATCCGTTACTGCCATTCCGTAGCTATACATCAGTACCATATACCACAGAGTAATGAAAAGCTTGATTGAACGGCTTGAAAGATAGCGAAATCAAGCTGTTCATTTTCTAATGCAGAAAAGGCTTACGTGTGTTGAGACTGAACTTCTAATGCTGCTGTCCACTTCATACCAAAGAATATGACTTACCAGCAACAAATTGATGCTGCTCGAAGTCAAGAACGAGTATCCAGAAAATACGGCCGTAAAGGGTGCCAACATGCAAAAACACAATGATTTCAGTCTACTTAGGAGCAAGAAGTACTGTCAATGCACTACTATTAGAGAGACTAAGAATCCAGGTCTTAGTGTTAAACACGCTCGAAGCCCAAAGCGACAGTTTCCAAAAGGAAGAATAATCTAAGAGGTAAAAACGGCATCACACAGTGTATTCATTCAGTCTAGTTGTGAGGACATCGTACTTCCATCGCATTACTGCCAAAGAGACTGAACAATCCAAGACTTCGATAGATCCACTTTGAGCAAACTCACACAAAATAAGCTAGAGATATTTCTCAAAACAATCTTCTAAGCTGTAGCATTGGGGGTCCTTGGATAAGCTTGCTCAAGAATAAACTTTTGAAACGCTTTCCTTCTAGATTGAATTAAATCTTGAGGCAAAAAAAAACAGTGCTGGTGATGATGACCTTGCGAATTTCATGATCTCGATAGAGTACCACGCTGGTTCCTTTGGGGCCAAGGCCATACTTATGAACATCAACGGACATGGAAGTCACCCCAGGTACGGTAAAATCGAAGGCAGGAATCGGGTATCTGAAAATAAAGATCAGATTATTACATTCCATGACGTCCGCAAAGTTTTCTTAACCGTGTGCATATGTATAACTGTAGTCCTCGCATACCCTGTAATTATTTACTACTTGCCAATAAGTACTAATGTTCTAGTAAAATTTCATAACAAAAAAGACTTACATTTAAAGCGAAAACCAATTATGCAGAAAAAGTAAACAATTTCAAGATTCTACAATTAAGGAAGAAAATCAATAATTCTTCTTCCTTAGTTAGGGCAGAAAAATTAGATCATGTACTCGATCTATAAATTCTTTATGAAAAGCACTTCATAAGACCACCTGCAGATTTACAACAGCAGCTTTGGAACCAGGACTGTCACTCGATACATTCATTGGAACTAAGTAAAGGTACTAGGCTAAATATTGAAGTAGACAAAAGAGAGCATCACGGCCAAGATGTCAAGTTGAGCATACCCAAGTTTTTTGGCGAAAGGAAGAACGAAACCCCCGAGACATAGATCCACATGAAAGCAAATGCCTCTCCCCAGCGCCAGGGCTCCTAATTCCTAAGCACCGATCCATATTCAAGTAAAGCTTTGAACTCGAGCTTTGAGCAAAATCTTAAAAAGGAATACAGCAGAACTTGTCCACGATGCACGGTTCTCCACTCCAAATGCTAGGCATAATAGGGGCTTGAAATAGTACCTCAATAGGATCAATTACACCATGGGGAAAACCGGGAGCTGAACCAACAATCTAGAAAGGAAGCCAACGGATTTTCAGCAGTCATCAGGAATTTTTATATGTGCCTCACAGTCACAAATCAAAGTTTCTTCATGTAGTTCGACATTGCAAGATCGAGACAATGATTCGAAAATTCTAGTCATTTGGAGAGAAAAAGGTCGATACAGTGCACGAAGTTTCTATCTAAGTTGACAGATCCAACAACCAGGTGCATACCGGAAAAATCGTGACTAATATAGGAGTCAAAATCATTCAAGAGAAGCTCAAAGTCAGCTACCCCAAAAGCAAAATGAACTGCAAATGATATCTGTTCTGACGAGATACTTGCAAAATTGTTTTCTATTGCAAGCAGTAGAGAAAGCTCACTACTTTTGCAAGTCATATACAGTTTTGACCCTCATTTACAACTTGCGAACCCTCGAGTCGATTATTGCGAGGGTTGGCAACTTACTGGGATACATATAGAAAAAAGGTTAGAATCTTGACGTATCTTTCTACAATACCAACTAGAAGCCTTCTGATCAGAATAAAAAAATAAACTTCAATAGGATAGAGATGCATATACGCACGATGATAGTATTTTTATTGATCAGCTTCTTTACAGCCTGGACATCCACTCTCAAATCCTCTTTCACAGGTGCGCGTCGCAGCTTTATCTTGAAATACTGCGCTGCCTTGTCATAGGCTGAATGCGCAGATACTGGAATAATTCTGTAATGCAAAATACCACCATCTGAGTTAATAAAAGTGCAAGATGTGTTACACTCTGAGGTATCTAAGTTACAAATTGATAACCATCTCCAATTCCTGACAAGGCAAAATGTAACTTCTGAATCTTAATCTTCAAATATAGACAGCTGACATTATCGAGATAATACTTTCACAATATTCCACCTGGGTGAGAGATCACGCATAACCGAATCTCCATCAACATTTCACTACTAGCAGAGATGGAGCACTCTCCAGATATGACTCAGTTGAGATGTTAGAAACTTCTTCTTGACTTCTTACTTTGCCGCAATTTAGGAAGACATGCAACTTCCGCACATCCGATCATGAGAGATCCTGACTTCCGTCAAGAAAAATCAGGTTGTGTATGAAGGTAAGCCTCACATTTCAGGTTGAGTTACACCTCGTCTTGCCTGCATATAATCCCGTGAGCTTTTGACAGCCATGAGGATACTTTCTGTGCCGCCGGAAGTCATATTGCCACACACTTGTCCTCCTGAAGCGCTATGCTTACTTCCAAACAAGGCTGAGGTCATAGCCACTACCTCAGCTTCGAATCGAGATACGCTTGGGAAAACATCTGGATGTAAGGGATTGGTGTGGGCAAAGCTGCAATAATGCACAAAGTCAGGTTACGAACAAACAGTTGTCAATCCAACACGACTAGCATCGAAAGAAAGGAACTAAAGGCTGAATCGTGAGAAAGAAGAAGATCGCATACAGGCAGTACGCTTCGTTCACTAGAGAGAAATGTCCTTCGGTCTCACTGCCTCCGATGTACCTGCGAATATTCGATTGAAGAATATGAGTTTCCATCAAAAGCTTGGGAAGTTAGGCAGTAAATGTAACAGATAGTATTCCGCTTTAGTTTCAATTGAAGGGATGAGTAGTAGAGTCTAAGCGACAGGATAAACAACGGCGATGAAAACGGCGACCAGAGTGCTACAGATTTCCCACATAATTGACCACGATATCCCATAAATAATGTTCAAATTCAGGAACAGGCATGGGAAAAAAAATGTACATACAGAAGTAACGGAGCAAATCTGACAGGAACAAACCACTGATAATTTTACACTCGAATACCTACACTGCTCCAGAACATTTCCCTTGCCACTTCTTGTCTCTTGACTTCTCAGCTTTCAACTGTTCAATGACTTGAGTTCCGAGTCCAGCAGAAGGAAGCTCTGATCGCCAGCATTCTCGTTCGGTTTTCATGCTTGCTTGCAATTTATCTATAACCTGTACGGGGAGAGGTCAAAGACCGGAGATTAGACCATGTCTGACACCTTGACGGTCGAGATCGACCCTAAGAGCGCAGTCAAGAGTTTGCTTGATTTCGAAGTGACTGTCTAACTCTTGCACACATGGTACACTGGACATACCAACTGAGCCAGATCCTCGATATTACAGACACTAGATGTAGAAACCACGATGTTGAGAGGGAAACCAAGGTCGACAAAGTTTTGAGGGATCGCATTGGATCGCCCCATGTAGCATGATCCCGGGAGAAATGACAAGTTATCTTATGCACCGCGACTATGGAGAAATTATAGCTTACTGGAGCTGAATGTGTCTCACCTTGTTTTGTTCTTTCTTGATGTAGTCATTTGCGCCTGGAATCAGTCTGCACTCACACACGCGAGTGAGTAAATTCAAAAACAGCACAGTTGACATTCACAACATATTTATTAATATAAAACTGGATTTTAAGACGGAGATAAGCACGTAGAAGGCGTAAATTACTTTATACAGGTGAGCGTCAGTTTCACCAAAGCAGTTTTGAGCCCTGCAAAACAGAGCAAGCGATCCAAATTAATATTCCAATTCGAAGTGAGCTCAGCGATGAAGAGCTAAGAAACAGAATTCACATCCACCCACTTGTGACATTCACAATCAACTCGTACAGCGTGTCAGAATTGTAAATGGCAGAATTCCCAGCACATGAAGGATTCGTCTTCGTTTTCTCTCCTTTTCTCGAAATTTAGAGAGAGCACAACCTTCAAGTTGATGATCTCGGAAAAAAACTTCCAGAACTCTCGTTTAAAATATGCAACAAATTTCCGAAATACCACAGCGACGCCATATACCTAAGCCATTTCATACAGCCAAAAAAAAGGAGTCCCCTGATTGCCCATTCCACTGCCACGATCACACCGGGAGATTCCTTCACACAAACCTTGTTCGGCTAACAAATCGTAGAACGAACAAACAAGCCGCCACGCGAGGCTGAGCATAATCCAGCACGAGATGGACGCAATCACCACGTAAACAGGCTCGAACCGCGAGAGAGAGTCATTCGCAATCCTCCGCGCTTCCTCAAGTTTCTCTCCGAAAATCAGAAAAGTGGGCGTCATCATTTCTTCAAATTCCTCTCGCGTCATTTCTCTCCCGATCGCCAGTCCCAGCCACGAGCTCCTCCTGCAGCACGAACGCAGTGCGGTGCACGCACGGGCAAACCGGGAGAGCCAGAGCGCAATCAGTCGAATTATTCAATTTATGAAGTCGAGGACGACGCACGCACGCGCGGAAACTCGAGCGGGCAATTAATTCTGACACCTGCGAATGCAATCCTTCCCTCGGCTCGTCTCGTCTCGTCTCTCGCGCTTGCGCCGGAGTTTCACGGGACCGGACGCCGGAGTACGAGGCCCGATGGATTGGACGATTGAGAAACCGGTCGTCCTGACGTCAAGCAAGACTCGGGCTGCAGCTGCCTCTGCTGCAGTGAACGCGGGCGAACGACGACTGGATGCCGTTGGCGCTACGCCCACTGGTTCACGCATTGCCTTCTTAGTCGTTCGCTTCTTAGTCGCTCGAGGCCTGTCAGCGGATCGCCCGTCAATTTCGCCCGTAAAATCTCCCCTTTCCCAACTCCCTCCACCGCTACGCTACTCATCATCATATTCGCAATAATTCGAAACCACGAGCGCGGTCTCAAGCCCACAAGTTCACCAGGACTCCTTTGCACGTGTGATAAACAATTCCGATAAAGAACCGCGAGATTATGGAAGCCTTTCTGCCTAATCTCTACCTTTTTCGAGCCGCTGCCTCTACAGAAAACTCACACCGGCCGTGATCGATGGGTTTAATCTGTTTACTTCGTTGGTTTAATGATGAAATCGCCACTTCGGCACTTGACTGCGCGAATGGTGGACCGCAGCAAAGGACTTTCCACCATGTCGCAATTTGCAGCGACTCGAGTGAAGTGCCGAAAGAGGATCTGCGATTCGATTCGCGGAGACTCGGGCGCGGGTCGCGGAGGGTGGACTCGATTCCTTATTCGTCGCGAGTCCCCCTCGCGGCTTCTTCTTGACCGCTACGGGAGGTGCCTTTTCGCCGAGTTGGCGTCCGTCTCCACGTCTCGGCCCTGGCACCGAATGCCACGTGTCAGGAAACGGGACCGCGCTGTGAACCGGACACCGGAAGCTCGAAGCTTTTCCGTTGGTCAAAGCGGAGGGCGTCTTTATCCGTATGTCACTCCGAAATCCACATCATTGTCATTCATTTCTTGACCCGAAATGAAACTATTTCGGACACGTGTCAAGACGGGCGGACATTCTCTTGGTATGCCCCAATGCTCTTCTTTCCTCTTAGATTTTCATCATGACCGGAACACTCTACATGCCCGATCAGAATACGGAGGCAGCATTCAGCATCTCCAAGACAATTTGGGCGGGGGAGTGACTGCGGGTCTTCGCTTCCGTCCACCGAAGGAATATTTTAAACCCTTTGACCGTGGTAGAGCCTCGACCTTCAATGCAACGCAAGCTAGGGAGGGAATAAGGTACAGAACTGTCCAAGGGGCACCGCATGGAAAAGCAAAAAGGGTGCGAGGACCTGTCTATTGTCGTACAAGGTACAAGTCTGAAACCAAACGAGTAAAATGGGGCTGGAGTCTGATGTTGCATGAGGATTTGAGTTAATCTGGAGGCTGCTCCACCTGTTCGCTGACGGGACTCTTCGATTTCTGACATGCAAATATCACCTCCATCAATCCGAGGACATAACTGCACAATGAAAAATTATTCAACAATCCATCTCATTTGGCCTTTTCGTATAGTCGTATAACGATAGTCGTATTCGTTTCTTCAAGAGCAAATAACACAAATAGATGGAAAAATCCGAAGGTTCATATAGAATACAATGAATTCTAAAATGATCTAAAATTCTGAGCCTCATAAAGATCAACATCATGTTAATCTGGTTCTTAATGAATACTTCCCCGGTTCTCCTCGCACCATACAGGTCATGGTTTAACTTCGGAGCCTTAGCCTGACTCAGGTGGAAGCTGTGTGGACTAAGAAGTATCTTCTGGAGGAAATCTTTGTTTTCGGAGAGTAAAATGCGATCACGAGATAGCATGGCTCCCCTGTCCATTTGTTTTTCCACAAGTTATTCTCCTCCGTGGGGTTGGCTGAACTTCTCTACGTTCCTTGCTCGATGGAGTATGAGGGGCAAGCCAATTGATGGTGATTTTACTGAAGCCGCAAGGTCTTGGTATAGGGAAAAGTAATACAAAACTTCCCTTTCCTTGCTGCTGGATAGAAAATGGACCACAACCAAATCAGAAGTTTAGTGGAAACAGATATTTACCGAGCTTTGGAGTAGTAGTAATGTAAACCGAGACAAGATCTTCATGTGGAGAGTTCTGCACCAGGTCTTGTACACCAAAGAGCGAGCTTCCAAGCTGGGACATGGAGAGGGCAAGTGCCCTAGAGGTTGCAACGTGGTGGAATACATTTCCTGCATCATGTTCTACTGTCACTTTGCTATGCAAGTTTGGAGGATTTTTGCGAACTTGAAATGGATAACAACTGAAACGCATAACATCTTCAGACATGCAACGTCGCTACTTGAACTCATCAAATTAGGACTGCTACATCAAACTGGTAGTCTTGTTCCTGCTAAGTGGATGATTACAAGTGAGGTATGCCGACATTTATGGTTGAGTAGAAACCAAGTTTTATTTGCACATGCAGTAGCACATGTGAATGTACATGGCATAGTCAGGAATACAATAGATAAAGCAATTTGTTCGTGGAAAGAATCTACACAGATAACTCCATCTAGAGAATCGTTAGAAATTACTAAAACTTTGCAGGGTGTGATTACTTCGTCAATATCTAGCAGAATCGAAAGGTGGCTAAGTAACTATCTAATATGCAGTGCTTATTCAGGAGTAAGCTAGGAGGTCCCTCACACGAAGGAAGCAGCGACCAGATTGGATCCTCCTCTACTCTTCTACGAGGGTCGGAGGCATGTGAATACTCTAATCTCAACTTGTCACATATACAACTTGAGCGGCTACTATGAGTTTGTGTTTGTGACTCTTGCTCTCTGGAGTATATTTTGCTGCTCCTTGTTGTTTCTGCGTTGATGTTGTGGGCATGGGGCTACAGTGCGCAGAGATAGGTAGTGTTTTTTTTTAATGTAGTTTGCTGGTTGGCATGCGCTTGGCCGTTGTATTGCTTGGACTCTCCAGACGCATGTCTCCTACCTGTTGTTCTTTGATGGATGACAAGTGTTGGGTTGACTTGTACCTTGACTTTTTGCGCTTGAAAACTTGAAGTCTTGCAGTCATCTAATGTTTTCATCATGATCAACATCATGTGCAGTTGTTTTCAGATTCATTCTAGAGCATACCTATCTAAATATGGAAAATACGTAAATCGAGAGCCCGACTCCGTATTTGGTTTTTAAAAAGTTCAATATTTCCAACAAAAATGTCTTTGTTCATCTTGGAAGCGGTACTAGAGAAACTAACTGAGGTATTAACTAAAACTGTGTGAGATTACGTGACTTTACTAACTTAAAGTTTACACTATACTTTGCACACTACGATGATGTAAATAAATTTACGGTTTTTAAAAGTTCTCGAAGATTGGTTTTGACTTAAATTGCGCTACCATCGTCACTTAACTTCACTACAGTTTTGGACCTTTGTTACTTAACTTCATTACAATTTTAGACCTTTGTTTAGTGAAGTTCGATGGATTCTATTGAACTTGCCTCGAAGCCATCTCGCAAAACTCAATTTCAATCGAAACACTTGTTACTATATGGTCTATGTATAGCATGTGGTGATGCTAGATCTTCTGAAGTGGAGTTTGTCAAAGAATTAACTTGCCCATTTCCTAACACTTCAACGGTGGAAAGTGACTTCTCAATGCTAAAATGGAAAAAAGACATTCATAGTTAAAAAATAACACCCATCTCGATGAAAGGTGTATCACATTGGTGTCAAATTTGGACTTTATTGAAGAAAACATGAGGGATCTCTGTCAAGTTCCGTATGTTAGGTATTTTGTTTTGAGAATTATTCTTCTTTTGTTGAAATACAGAATCCGTCCTATATAGAGTAGTGACAACACGTACACAACTCTAATGAGAATTGTAATTTCATGTTTGATTGTTCACATGATACTTGTTTTAAGTTGAGCGAATATGTGAATTCATGTACATTTATATTGTTCAATAAGGATATAAGTTTTATTTGACAAAATAAACCGACATTATCGTATGGGTATGTTATAATATGGAAATTTTCCGTACAATTTTTTTTTATAAAAATAATAACATTTTTTCTCATGGTATAGATATACTTTATGAGAATGTTTCTTAAAGTGTTTAGTGAAAGACACTATGACAATTGGCTTTTATTAATTCAAGAAGTTGCATGAATGACAATTAAAAGACACATACATGCATTTCTTGTCTTAGCTAATTAGTAATCTTGTAATAATTTCAGTTCAAATGAAATATTGTTAATGTTAAAATTAAAATTAACATGTAGGTTTTCTTTCAATTTCATGCATACTCTATCTTTGCAATATTATTGATAAATTTTTGCATCACATATGGAAAATATAAATTTACTTCTCATGAAACATAAATCTTGTGATAATCGTGCATTTTGTAGATTTTAGATTTTATTGATAATTTTTAATAATTTTTTTAACTGAAAAAGAAACAAATATCAATGTTTTAATGTAAATTGATCTTACAGACGTAGGTATGTAACTAAACATATTTTTTAAGAAAAACAAGTTATCTTGTCAACAAGGTTCGATTTTCATTCTAAATATTTTAAGTTAGAAATATAATATCAATAAACGTAATATATTAAATCTAAGACTTTTCATCTGGATTAGGGTATCTTACGTTTGGCATTGTTTTGAAGTGATGCATTTTCATTTATTGATTTCATGATCCATCTTCATATGATTTTTATTATATATATATATATATATATATATTGAAAATAAGAAAAAAAATTATTCATAGAAAAATATATTTATTTATTTGTTTGAAATAATTTTAAAATATCAAAAGTATTCGATATAATGTTTAAAATAATTTTTTACACTTGATTATTATATAATTTATTGATGATTTTTGTACTAAATCCGAGCCCTAGTTACTTAAAAAAACTCACTGATTTCAGTTAATTTTTTGATCAAATTTTTCTAATTCAAATTCTAATCGAATCAGAATAGTTTCTTATTTTTCCACTTATTATATATATATATATATATATAATTAAAGATCTCATTTTGCAATTGTGACTTTGGTATTTAGGTAAGGATTTTGATATTTCATTTGTTAATATTATTTAAATATTTGTGCATAAAAATATTGATAAATTTCTAATAATTTTTACACTGCAGCGAAAAATTTTCATTAATATTTATAAAATTTATATGGTAAAATAAAATATTTCTATTCATCCTGAAAATCCCCAAAAATTCATGTTTTTTATTTTATAAATTTTACTATTTTAATTCATCATCTTTATTTATTCTTGTTGCAATATTGATCTAATTTTTTAGTGAATCAATAACTACATTGTGATGTATCTAAGTAATAATAGAGTATGATGTTTAGAAAAATTATAATCAAATACAAATTTTCACTGTTATTGTTCAATTGTCAGTTTAATTAAAATTTTGTTGTACATATTTAAAACAAATGATTAGCAAATCAGCATATCATGACACTTGGATGTGATAACATTTGATGAATTTATTAAGTAAAAAAATGGAATAAAAGTTGCAAGAGGATTCAACCTTCTTATTATTTTATATTAGAGTATCAGAATAAAATTCAAAATTCTTTATAACAAATACAAGCTTTTGAAATGAATGTTTATTTACAGTCTCATCATAATCCATGCAACAATTACATAAAATACAGGTATTCCTTATCACATTTGAGGCACAGAAAATGATTTTGGATTTGTTTGTATCAAAATTTTTAATTGTTAAAACCTAAATCATTTTTTAAATAAGATAATAATTAATTAAAAATAAAATTATTTTTTTCAAAATAAATAATTTGGAAAACGTACTAAATAAATTATAGAATAAATAAGATATATTATGATAAAGAAAATAAAGCGAATAAATCAGAAATGTTTCAAATTTATATATTATGATAATTTTTCATGTTATATGGCTAGAAAAATTGAAAGAAAAATTTAGGATATAATTTCATGTTAGTATTATTGCATGCACATAATTGTCTTTCAATGATCAGTAGAAATAATTTTTAAATATCTAGCATGATATATAGTATAGATTTAACAAATCTTTTTGAATCAATACTTAAATTTGCATACCATCCAAATGACATGATTATATACTATAAAAAATTAACATATACTAGAAAATTTTATTTACTAAATATCTTGAAATAAGAAGCAATTGGAGTTTCTGGAGATATTTCAAATGGCAAATTTTTTACTACATAAAAATCCATGATTGTAATAATACATTAAATATCCAAACGGAATTGCCCTAATTGATAACATGACATATTAAAAATTTATATGTGCAATGTGTACATTTATTGTCCATAAAAACTATCACATCTTATTTATCTATATTTAGTATGATAGAATGAATGAATGAATATATATATATTTATTTATAATGATTATCTTGAATATATAGATTTTACAAATCAAAATTATACTCCTTATAATTTGCATTCTTTATAACAGTTTCATTTTTTGTTATTATATAATCTTAGATCAATTTGTTATTGAAACTATGACATTGTGAATAAACATTGATGATATTGATTTTAGTGTATATACATCCAACATACATTCTTATTTCTTGGTGTATAGCGTGACATTTCTGGGTGGGTGTTGCGTATACACTAAAATCACTACACTCATACAAAGTTTTATTAATACAATATGTGTCATTTCAGAAATCTAGTATTCAAACAGAAACATTAGTATATGAAAGGGAGAAGTCCATGTCATTCTCGAATGAAATGCATAACTTTGAAAACACTGACACACATGTAGCAACATGTATGTGAGGGAACAGAGAAGTACAGACTCGCGGTGTCAAAGCCTTGAAGGATTGTGAAGCCCGTGGGTAGGGCAGACGGTCCGAGGAAGAAGAAGCTGCGGATGACGACCACCGGGAGCAGATGTGCAGGAATGGGAGGTAAATGAGAATTAAGCATTCGGGTGAGCTGCGCCACCTTCGGATTGCTCCAGCTAAAGCTCACGTGAGTTTCCAGGCGTATAGAAATGGCGAGCACGAAGGAGTATGGAGCCGAAGCCGATGACCAGACGGCTTCGACATTCTCGCTGACAGAAGAGGATCACACTTTGGGCAATGCTCTGCGATACGTATTAAACAAAGAGTGAGCGGTTCTAGCCATCTCTACCTCTTTTGCATTCCATCGCTGGAAAATCGAAAAATTGGAGAGCTCTTGAAGTTCCAGGGTTTAGGGTTTTAGACGATGATATTTTGCAGTTCGGATTTTGAGCTGAGATTTCATTTCTGTGTGAATTCGACGTCTGTATGTGATGTGTCAAGTCTCAATGGTAGGAGCTGTCTTTGTTCAATTCCTCTGCGTGCTTTGACATCTTCTGATGCTTTCTCACGGTGGGGTTTCACAGTCCTCGTGTGTCATTCGTCGGCTACAGCATTCCTCATCCTTCTGAAGAGCGTGTGAATCTGCGTTTGCAAACAACAGGTGAGCGGTTGATCGTGTTTGATAGTTTTGCAGGGCAAGTGCGGCGGTTACGCTTATTGGATTTATCACAGTCTTCAGTGGTCTTTTCTTTCCTCTTTAGCTTTACACCAGTAGGCTAAAGCATCCGAAGCATGTCGATGTAAGTCTCTTCAATTTTAATCCGTTATTGTCAGGAGCCTCTTTTGGGTTAAATTGGGGTTTAAAATGATCTGGTCTGGCTCGGAGGTCTGGTAACACACACCTGCTACATTAGTCGAGTGGATTGGCTGACACATTCTTTCTCGATGCCCATACCAAATTTCATAGCCAGTGACTCTTCGAATTGCAGCTCAAAAGCAAATGCTCGTCCAACAATTCTATGATTTGGCGCCATTTAGTGTTCAAACCTTGAGGCGATTAGAAGCGTTTTTAATATGAGGCCTCCACCGAAGATACTTTCAGCTCAGCTCAACGTTGAGCTGTATTTACCTTGCCGATCACATTTTTCTAAGTATTTCTGACAATGCTATGCTTGTGTGTGTCGCCTCGTGAGTAGGTCTTCCTGCGAGGGACGTTCTGAAGGATGGTCTGCAAGATATGATGGCACTGAATGATCACGTGCGAGTCACATTTGAGAAAGCAGTGGACGACTACAAGACTTTGCAAGGGATGAGGGAGATGAGTGTCGGAGCGAGTGGAAGGTCTGGAGCAAGTGCAAAGTCTGGCCTAACTCATCAAACACTGTCCACCGATACGAAGTGAAGTGGTCATTATAGGTCTACTTCAATTGCCATTACATATATACATCGTTTGTCTAGCGAGAGGCGTACATATATCTATCCATTTGCCCTTGTCGGCTTTTTGTTACGTTTGGAAAATGGATTGTCCTCAAACCCAACAGATCGTAGGAAGTTTTGCAGAAGTAGTTACAAAATTACAACCCCGATACATCTTCGCAAGTAAGCTGCATGTAAGTTTGCTTGATTGCTGTCTAGAGGAACATGTAGTAGTCATAGGATTTAGGTAGGTCAGATTTAGATTTGCTTGTGGCGGGTTAAGTACGAGATAGTGCAAACTCAACACGCTATAAGGCGGCATAGTTTTACTAGGTGTTCTACTTCGCTCATCAAGAGCCTGAGAAAGAATGTTCTGAGGAGTCAGTTGGAGGTCACTGACTGACTTGTAATTTGCTTGATATCCTGTGATCAGTGGCGGAGCCACAGTGGTGTCTATACAACCCCTGAGATCTGGCTGATACTAGTGGTTAAAGATCATTGGCACTGTGTGCAATGAACTATGCAACACTTGTGTTGAGTAAAGAGTTTCACAGTGGCCGAATCTCAGTATCTTCTGACACTGCATGTCTGAAATTAATGTAACTTCTACAGCCTTCTTCAAACATGAGGAAGTAGAGCTGGCATAGCTTTATCCAGAAGAGTTCTTTATCTTTTCTCTTACCTGGTACAATCGTTGTAAACAGAAATTCAGCTGGGAATGTACACTTCGCTTGTGTTTTTCTCTCTTGCATATAGCTTGACTTTGAGATATTCTGAAAATATGGTAGACCCTGGACATTGTCTGTAGATTAGATTTAACGTTTAGATTCATAGTTTCCCTTTCCGACAGGGAGGAAAACTGCCAATGCGCTGTCATCTACGTTTCACGCGAAACGAAAATAATGATAATGGTAGCTTTCAAATGTGGAGCAATCATGGAACTTTTTGTGGGGACGGTCGGGTAGGCTTAAGCTGTTAGAGACTTATAGTAAGTAAAGTGCAATTCAGTTTACAACTTGTACTACCACTTCGACTCACGGCCTCCATTCAATGATATCCTTGCTTCTCCCTCGGAAATAAGCTCCTCCACAATGAGTATCTTTGTGTTTTGAGAAGTCGAAGGAGATGTATCCATGACTGCTGATATTTTAAATCTCGTTAGATTAACTAAACCACCCTCTGCACGACGTCTACGAGCGCTTACGTTGCTGCAAGTTGTGAACCAACACACACAGTTGCAACTTCAGACAGATCTTGTGGATGAGAAGATATAACAGACAATAGATATTAAGAAGTCACGGAAAACAGGTGACTTGTTTCGACTACATATCTTCCAATAAAAACTAAAATTATTGGCATACATTCCGTATTATGTAACTGTTTCACAAGTGACATCTACCATTCGAAATTTCAGTATTAACAGCTGTGATAATGAGAAGAAAAAAATTTCTTGTACGACGAGAAACGAAACTTGGCTATTTACCGCAAAAGACTGTGAGCAGAATATTGCATATAGCTAAATTACAACACGAAAAAAATTGCTAACCATGAAATGATAAGAGAATAATATGCTAAGAAGGAGAGGCCTTAGTTCCAAGTTTCAAACTAAATTTTTTTCGAAAGAGAAAGCTAGCCTATATGGGTTTTTCGCATGAGTTGATGATCACGTAGCTAGTATGGATAGTTCACCTCGAAGATTTTATCCAAATTTGGAACTCATGGAACAATATTACTTCATGGTTCTATTAAAGGTTGTATAGCGTGGTGTTTCGGTGATTCGCTCGATATCAATAGGTACAAGAGCGAATGATTGCCCGTGGTCTTCAGCTTTTTCTTTATTGCACGGCTACATCAGAGCGAGCAGCGACGGGAGTTTGGCACGAACATTGCCCGTGCGAGAGTTTGAGCAGCGGGACGAGCGAGACGACGCGCATTCGAACCTCAAACTATCGATCGGCATGTCGACGACGATGGAGTAAGGCCGATGCGGCTGAGTCGTAGGAGGGCAGGGCCAGCCAGCACAGGGTTCTTGCAGTCTGAACGATGTGTGCGTAGGCCGCTATCAGGAAGTGGTTTTTGAAGAAGCCCGATCAAAATAAAGAGGAATAAAAATTCGTTTAAAAACCTCTCTGATGAGGGAGGGCCTAGTGCGAAGTACAAGTAGCAGAGAAGAGGAGGGGCTTCGAAGTCGTGCATCGTCAGGTTTTTTCTACGCCGGTGGTGGTGGTGTCGGTGTGCAAGCTTCTGTTCGTGAAGTCGAAGTCAAATTTGTCCAAGCCATAGTTCGTGTTCCAGTCGATGAGGATACTCATCTTCGTGTCGATGATATGAGAGGACGAGCATTGTTTTGAAGTGCGGGGTGGTGAAAATTCGTGAGCGGCTAAGGGCTTTGCCCAAGTGCCCTCTATATCCCAACGCGTAAAGGAATTTGTTGGTTCTTGCCGTTCGAAATCAGGTGAAGTTCATCGTTTTTCTTGTGGTACATATGGATATCCATATCCGCTTGAAAAAGCTTCAGAAGTAACGTTGAATGCCGGCAGAAAAGGTTGCGCAGGTCTGGACGAGGTATCATTCATTTTGTTCGATCAAAAGTTCTATCTCTCCTGGATAAAGAAAGTAACATAACAGCTTGGCGCAGGGTATCTCTCCTATCTGCCTGAACCATCGAATTGCAAGCGACGTTGCAGTGAACAAACTTGAGAAAGGAAGAGCTCTTGAGTACATGTCTTGAGTACATCGAATAGAGTTGCAGAGTGAAAGAGAAGAATCTTTCAAAGCACAATTTCAAGTGTTCAGTGTAACGAGATGGCGGTCATGATGTATAAAGTACCAAGATTTGACATAGTCAAATATGACGGACGTACTAATTATCTGTTCTGGGAGAGACAAGTCAAGATCAATTTAAAAGCCATGGGTCTAGGCAAATCGTTGAGGCCGAAGCCATCTACATGCAGCGACGAAGATTGGAAAGACTTCCAAGAGCAAGTTGTAAGTATTGTCATGTTGCAGTTACAACCTTCGGTTTTGAAACAACTGGATGAATACGAAGATTGTATTCAATTGTTTGAGGCCCTTAAACAAAGGTTTCATCCAAACTCGAATTGGATGTATGCCTATTTTAAGCTACTGCGTTGCCGGATGAAAGATGATACGAAGATTCAAGATCATATTGATGAGTTGAATGATCTTATCACAGATCTTAAGGATCTAGGACATGAGATAAGTGACGAGAAAAAAACCTTACATCTCTTGGGCACACTATATTCATCATATAATCAATTCTCTCGTGTGTTGCTTCGTAATCGGGTTACAATCACTTATCACGAAGTTGTAGGGGAGTTGTTGACTACAAGGGTTGTGCTTTGAGGTTTGAAGATAGATCCAAGGCTAGAGGTGAAGCGATATGTTGCAAATGTGAAAAATTACCAAGTAAGTAAAGATTGCTATATGAAGAACAAAGATGCTCATACTACTTTAGTCAATATGGCTTAAGGTTTTGATGCCGAGTAAGGTCTCTTGCTAGAACATGAACTATGAAGATAGATCCAAGGTTGGAGATGCAGTGATATGTTGCAAATGTGAAAAATTATCAAGTAAATATGGATTGTTATCTCAAGAACAAAGATACTTATATTACTTTAGTCAATATGACTCAAGATTTTGATCCGGATAAACATATCTTGCCCTAACATGATCTATGTATAGCCTCTGCAATTCACCATGGAATGTTGATGCATATGTGGGTAACATGCCAGAATTAGAAATGTCAAAGTGTGCAAAACAATTTCAAAACCCAGTTATTTAGTGTTGAAAGTAGCGCTTCGATTAAAAGACAGCCAAACTGCACTTTTTGACCAGCTCTAATTGAACTCAGCGGCTAAAACGCTCAGATCATCAGGAAGATTGATATGGGGTCTTCTGCGCTTCTCCGAAAAGAATGATTGCACTTCGAAGCGTTGAAAGAAAAGGCTGATCTGATGACCACCTTACATCACAAGCACCAAGAGCCTGTGATGGAAGACGATGACCAGATATTAGTTTATGCCCTTCCAAATCGCCACCGCAAATCTGCCGTTTATTTTCCCTCGTTCATCGCCAGCGTCTATGGACCACTGGAACTCACCTAATCACTCACCTCGTCACGGCTGCCATGCGGTGACCGACGGACCAGGTGCGGTGCGCCAAAAAGCCCTGGGACGATGGGAGAGCTTGACGAGAAAATGAATATCCAGCAGTCTCCGAAGAAACTGGACAGTAAAGTGTTGAAATTTCAGCCGAAATTTACTAAGCCTTCGATAAAATTTTTGATTGTAAATAGGAATATTCCGAAATCATTTCAGGTCTAATAAAGGTGTCCGTAATCCGCAAGGCAGGCCTAAAATTAATATGTGCCAGCCTTTGGCATGGTTTTAAAAAATTCATGCGCTCGAACACGTCGAAGCGAGGTCGATTACGATTAGTCAACTCGAAGAATTAATGAGGAAATAGACTTTCTCTCTCAACTCATATTCCCGGCAATGCCCGTTACGGACGTGGACGGAGTTCAAAGTTCAAACACTCGACGTCCTCTATTTGTGGAAAGAAGGGACGCCTGGCATCGGAGGAGGCGGACGCCGGAGCTATTCTTGCAAAAGTGCTGCTGACTGGGCGTCCCACTTGGCAGAGATGGCGAAAGGAGAGACGGGCGAGGAGGATCTGATCCGATGCGCGGAGAGAAGAGGGCAGGGAAGGAGAGGGGAGCCTGTGGGGCCCGCGGTGGCAGAAGGGACAAATTTCCGGGTGACCTTGACAGAAGGGCGCAGTGGTCGAGGGTTTAAGTGGCTATGGTTCGAACTCGCTTTACAGTGAAGCTCGTCGTTCTCGAAGGGGTTTAGAGGGCACCGAACCTGTGGCACTCTCGAGCGCATCGCTGAGACGAGGAGAGACGCGACATTTGAGTCTTACACTCGATTCTGAGCGGATTTGACAGTTCGCACCGGAGCAGCAATGGCGGCAGCATCCGTGGCGCTTTCTTCTGTGGTACAAACCCCATCTCTCTGTAATGGAAGAGACTCTCGCGCCTCGGGGCAGGAGGCCACGACGAGCGCTGTGAGCTTCAGCTCCAGGACTGTGTACACGTCCTTGTCGTCCCTTCTTCCTTCGGTTTTCCAGGCGAAGAATTTCTCTGGCTATTCCAAGAGCCGCGCCAAGTACGCCAGGAACGTCGTGAAGGCAGCTGCCTCCTCAGCCAGATCCGACGAAGAAATCAGAGAGTTTTGTCTGAAGCAATTCTCCGCGCGCAAGGCTCTGAAGGTAGGCGGAGTACACTCCTCATGAATCCATTGATCTTTTGGGGGTCTTGAGTGTTTAGCTCGTTTTTCGTGGACACGGATTCTCGTTTGTCGTTCTGGAAAGGGCGGTGTCTGGAACTGTCTAGCTACTCTTTGCACGGAAGACTGGTCCGGTCGAAGGAAAATATGGCGAATGTTGTTTCGGTCCGAGGACGGGAATGGTGGTTTGCAAGGAGACGCTGTTACAGTTACGCACTCAACTTGCGTGCCATGTTACATGCAGGTTATTGCAGGATTGCATAACTTTGACCGCAAGAGCGTTGCGGATGTCGTGATTGCCGCTGAGAAGGTAAGCCCGCTTCGTGCTGTCACTTGAAGCTGCACTTATATTTCTTCGTGTGATTATGATAACGGAACAGCCCATTTGCAGGCAATGTTTTGATAACCGAGGACCCGTTATACTTGCTGCAGGGAGGTGCTACGCATGTGGACATTGCATGCGATGCGGATCTTGTAAGATTGGCTGCCAGTCTGACCAGCCTTCCGGTGATGATCTCAGCATACTCAGGCCCTCCTTTGCTTCAATGATCTTGGTTTTGTGCTACGTACAGTCTGGTTGAAGAAATTGTCATTTCCTGCTCCCAGGTAGGAGGAAGTCATGGTTCTAGCCTGTCGTGTTGACCTTTTCCTCCTTTTCCCAGTGTAGATGATTCCAGGAATTAACTTCAGAATGTTCGTATCCAGATTTGTGTTTCTTCGGTGATCCCCGAAGCTTTCGTAGCTGCCGTCCACGCTGGAGCGCACATGGTACATTTTCTGGAGCCGTTTCTTTTCTGGAATCGATCAAATCGACTTGGCTGTACATGTTATTGTCATGTATATTGGGATTACAACCGGTGCTTTCTGGGACTCTGTTAGTGTCGATAATGCACAGGATGCCTAGACAATAAGCTTTTGCGCAAGTGTTGCATTACGCCTTGAGCAAATTAAACGACGATGCGAGTTATGTTAACAAGCACAGTAGTATTTTTCACCACCTGTCTTGTGTTTGGGTTGTGAAACCAAAACGATTGTGGGGGTGAACGCTCCTTAAATATGCAACAAGGACCTCATTCTGAATTTGACTGATGGTCCAGGTCGAAATTGGAAACTATGATGGATTTTACAAGAGTGGAAGAGTATTCTCAGCAGAGGAGGTAATTATCTGCCACAAAGAAAAGTGAGAGCAGTTTGTTAGTTTTGCCTTCTTAATTCCCTGCATCCAGTGCAAATGAAGTGTGAGCGGACGTCTTACTCTTCTATTAAATCAACAGGTTTTGGATCTCACGAGGAGGACGAGGAGTTTGCTTCCAAAAGTTGTCCTTTCTGTGACTGTCCCTCACACCTTGCCTCTAGACGAGCAGGTAATTGTCCCTGTCCTTCACACTTAGATTTTAAACTCCTTAATATAATCTTAAAGGGTATCTCCGTGATCTTCTGGGGTTTGTTCGGGCAGACTAGTTTTGTCGCGTTACCTGCACATTTTGATGAGTTACTAACCTTATTGACTTGACTCCACTCAAACACAGGTTAGCCTTGCAGAGAAGCTTGAGACAGCAGGTGCAGACTTGATTCAGACTGAAGGCGGTACAAGCTCTGCCCCTTCCGCTCCTGGTGTTCATGGTCTCATTGAGAAGGTAAGGTTCTCAATTGACAAAAACAGCTAGTGGTTTCTGACTTGGGATGACGGTCTTATCTGACAGGAATACTAGGCACTATATCAGAGTGTTCTAGCTTGTGGTTCGGGTTTGTTTGGAAGACAAGAACTTTATACTTGTCCCGTCGTGTTGCAGGCTGCTCCAACTTTGGCTGCGGCGTGGTCAATTTCACGGGCAGTGAAGGTTCCAGTGATATGTGCTTCCGGTTTGAGTGATGTAACTTCACCTATGGCTATCACTGCCGGTGCTGCTGGTGTGGTATGTTTCTGACTGAATTCTCTGATCTCACGTATTGTTCTATCTGTTACGAAAGCCATATATTGCAGTTAAAAGACGTATTTGATTACCGGTTTTGATTGAGTCTTCATGCTTTTTAACGCAGGGTATTGGGTCGGCCGTGAACAAGCTCAACGACCAATTGGCAATGATTGCTGCTGTCCGCAGTATAGCCGATTCATTGGGGTTACCTGCGAGGTCCAACACCCTTTTGTCGTCAATGGTCGCTCATTGACATATTCCAATTGTAGAACATAATGTGCCGCTAAAGAAATTTATGATCATTGACAACTTCAAAGGGATGAGGTGGAACGTGGCTGTCATGGTGAATTGACCACGGCAGTGCCATTCAGTTCGACTTCAAGAGTTAAAGAAAGAGAAATGTGGTTCTCAGAGATCCTAGTTTCGACTCTGACATCATGAGAAAGATCATGGGAAGTAGTCTGCCTTGTAATCTGTTCAGCGGTGCTCTATGCTCAATCGGCACATTTCTTACACTTCACTTTGTTTATATGTTTTCCATGATCCGAAATAAACTTTTTCGTGTTACGAGTAGGATGTTTAGAACGTTTATGCAAAATCTGTATGTCGAGTCAGAAGTGAGTAAAATTGTCTCATCATACTTGAGTAGTTTGGATGGAATCAAGTGCACTGTAGGTAGTAAGCTATTAATGTACTTGGATGGGCTTTCGCGAGTCATCCTTGCTAGTCATGACGATATTCAGTCGAATCAAGATATTCGAGCGGCATGGCTTGCTCTACACTCTCTACGTAAACTGTTACATTTCCCGTTCTGTTTACGGGTAAAAGAAATGACTGTGGTTTAGTGCGTAAGTCCGACAGCTTTGCCGGAAAATTTAGAGCGACGCTTGACAGATGAGAACAGGAGGAGGCTAGTAAAATATTTCTCCGTTCACTACCAGTAATGTCAACGAAAATAGTATGAAGGGGAGGCTGGGTGATATACCTTGTAGAGAAATGTTTATCAATTACGACTTATTTCAAGAACGGCTGATTTCTGACATTTGTCAAAGAGATGTGTGAACTACGCAGTGATCTCTCAGTGCTATGAAATTGTGAGATGAATGTAAAACAATACAAATCTTGGTATCGCATCGGAAATTTCTTTAAATATTCGAAGTTATTCCCGCTCAATGAAAGTTCCCCTGTTACCTTCATAGAGAGAAAACATTGAATAATGGCAGATGCTCCGAATTTGGAATGAATGAGAGATTGAAAACTATGGGTAAAGATCGACGAGAATTGAACATCTGTCATCTGAGTATGTAGTTCAATACAATGAGAAGAGGTGGCGATATTCAAGCGGATGTGAGAAGAAATTATGTGGACTTCACTTGTAGATAGCCGTTGATGGTAGCTCGAGGAAACATTCATATTCATGCGCACCAACATGTAGCGTATCAACTCTGTCAACGCCTCAGCCTCGACTGTAACCAGGCTTGTGAGAATGGTGCATTTGTTTCATTCTTAAACTGTCGCCTTGAAGAATCCTTAAAGTGGAGCCCATGCTAAAGTTTCATAAATTGGACAGTGTGTACACAGACGATAAAAACTCGATGACGGCATGGCCGGCAATTCAAGAGAAAAGAGAACCCGTGAAAGAGGGGAGTGTTTCATAACTCTGATTGAAACTATGAAAGCATAAGTTTCACGCTCTAACATGATCGTCAGAACTTCGTTGGAATACATGTCATCTGTTTCATGAGACGTACCTTGAATCACGAAGGTGTAAGGAGGTCGGAATTGCATATGTACAGCCAAAATTGAAGGCAGGAGTCTTGATGAACGGTCTTCTAGGAGAAAGTGAATTCTGTTTTTCCTTGCACAGTATTACTGGCAAGATCACAACTCTAGCGAGAGAGTAGAAAAAGAGACGAGCGTGGGAAAGTACTCAAACCACGAGCTGGAGAATGTCCACATGGAGAGAGTACAACGCGAAAAATACAGAATTTGATTGTCTCTCATCCTGCTCATTCATGAATGTGGATTTCGGTCCATTTGTCCCCCATGTGCCGCTTGTGGATGTAATAATCGATTGCATGCAACGTTCACTGAAACAGGGAGTGGATGTCATTCAATATTGTTCATAAAGTAAGATAAACTTATGGCCTCAGTGGTCGAGTTTCATTTCGTCACCAGCTGAGAAAATTTTGGATCATCGTGCACACGAATTCGCAGAGTTTACAATACACAAACCGGGAGAGATTTGATCACCGTTGTTGCCTTCATGGAGATTTGGAATTGGGTTACATGGAAGGGATTCCAGAGGTCAGGCCACCAAAAGTTTCCAGTGTCAAGTTTGATGGAAATAATACGATGAAGGAGAATGCAAGGTTTTGCCAGCGGGCCAAGAGTGACACCCAGAGATTCAAGCCAATGTGCCAAAGCGAACATTGCCTTACCATGTTACTATCCTTAACATTGATTTGAGTTGGGTTGATCGATCGACACCTGAACATGGTAGAGCTTTCACTGATAACAATCTTTGGGACTTGAGCTTGACTCATATCCTGTTGAACTTCATTATCAATTCAAATGCTGTGCTAGCATTTTCAACAAACAATACAAGGAGGCAACACTCAATACTGAACTGAGACTAAATACACACTTGTGCCAAATACTGGAACATTGCAATTACATCATCATTCTTCATAATGCAATATCATTCTATTCTTCATGCCCAAAAGACTCGACCACAAATAGATAGAGAGCAATACACCATAATACATAATTATAATATGCCTGTACATGATCTGTGACAGAGCGAGGATGGATACATGAGTTTCTGACATTGTCATAAGAGGAACTCTTATTTGCCTTCACTATATCATAGCTTTTCAAAAGCCTGTAGTTCAAGTCGAAAACGGGGAAAAGGGTGACGCTTTTAATGAAATGCACGATGGCTGAAGAATCATCACAAGTAAAAAGAAGCATGATGTTCTAGAACAGCTCTCCAGAGCCCCACGGTAGTAGCTGCCCAACCTTGATTCTCCGTAAATTCACGGAGACCTGCATCCTCACCTACCTCTCTCACGGTAAAACTCGAAAACTTACCAAGAGGTGAGGATACAGGTGTCCGCTGGTTGACCCAAATGTTATCTGCAGCTAAGACCGTGGGAATCTGGATAGCTGTTCTAGAGTATCCTGCACGTACATAGACACTTTGAGACACAGGTCTCATTTACGTTCCAAAACAATCAGTTGCAGAACTCTGAAAAATCAAGAAACATAAGGAGTGAGGAAGTAAACCTCATTCAGAACTTCTGGGATACAGGTCTCACAAACGTTCCGAAACAATCAGCTGCAGACCTCTGAAAAAACAAGAAACATAGGGAGTGAGGAAGTTAACCTGAAAAAACAAGATCCATAGGGAGTGAGTAAGTTAACCTGAAAAAACAAGATCCATAGGGAGTGAGGAAGTAAACCTCATTCATAACTTCTGAAGGGATTGACTGAAACCCCAGGAATGTAATGGAGAAATTTAAAATATGAAATGCATTGAGTTACCAGAACTTTTGTGCTAGTGTTTAAAGTTTAGACATATTCACTTTAATCTTTTTCTACTATCACATTCAATGACTACCAAAATAAAAAAGGATAATATTTTATTTTAGATAAATTTAGAGATGATTTTTTTTCCTCACATGGATGAATGTTTAGCATGGAATTGTATTTTACTACAAAAATCTTACAACCAAATTTACTCTAAAACTATAGGCTATGATGACTTTTCTTGAGCTTTAACCTATGTTCTGCATCTAGACAATTAATCATCTAAACAAAAATTTTACATAACATAGTTTACTATCTAATCCATGGTAAATCTAGCAAAAATTGATCTCATAGATGAATATCTTTTTATCTATGTATCCATACCATCTAAAACTAAGTGGAGGATTAAAAATTCCTGGGAATCTTTCATCCTCATCTTATATAGTATGACAAGATAAATATTTTTAGATTGACTTGGTATATTTATAAAGAAGATATGGATGTTGCAATTGCTTGAGGAAGACCACAAAGGTCAGTGAGACACTTACTACAAAAAAGGGAGTATTTCAAGATTGTGCAAGGCAATCTGGAATTATTTTTTTGGTGTATTATATAAGAGTAAGAAGAAAGAATCCTAGTAAATTTTTAATGCTCCACACAGTTTTAGATGGGATGGATACATAGATAAAAAAATGACATCAGTAGCAGTTATTTGGGCCATTCGTTCCAGTGATAGGAGCGATAATATGCTGCCCTTGGGCGAACTGGAGACGTCGAGCTTGAAAGTCTTGTATTTCATCACGACTTCTGAGCAAAAATCGTCCAGGAAGCTCTTCTGGATTTTGCCCTTGACTTCCCCCGAGACGCCCTCGTCCTCGTCATTGTGACTTCGATCATAATCTTTCGAATCTTCCTGCCAGTCCAGAAGGTCATTAGAATCCAGTTGCTCATGCGACGGACTCTTATCGTACTCGGAACTGGCAATCTCCTCGGATAAAAGACGGGAGCTGGAAGACGGATCCTCAGTCCCGCCTCCAATGAACAGCTTCTCGACAGCGATCATTTCCGCATCCGGATCCGCTGTAAACAATCTCCAAGAATCCACCGGATTGTACACGAGAGACTGGTCCCGTCGAGTTTTATGAGCCTCAAGCTCGGTTCAGTCAGCAGCGATGCTGCTGACTGAACCGAGCTTGAGGCTCTTAAACCTCGACGATGCGGTAGCGTGGGCCGCAGATGGATCCAACGCAGCGAAGCAACGATTTGAACATTCCATCTCCCCATGAAATTTCCGCCAATTTCTCTTATCGCGCTGCAGATATTCCTCTTCTCGCCGGTGGCTCGGACGTTATTCCGAGCCACCTCGAGTTTTGAAAGCTCCTCGGACGTTATTCCGAGCCACCTCGAGTTTTGAAAGCTACTCGGACGTTATTCCCAGACACCTCGAGTTTTGAAAACTACTCGGGTAGGCACGAGAAGAGAGCACATAGGCTTCTGAATTTCTTTTGCATTTTGAATTTTTTTAAATAGTGCGTCCTGATTTGACTTGAGCGAACGTATGAAAGGGACACGGCCCAGCATCAAATGACCGGGCTCCGACGATTCTGGAGTCTCACTCCCTTCTCTAGCGCAAGTTTCGTGTGAAGTGTGAAGACTCCACTTCCAGTTCAGGTGATGTTTTTACTAACCAGAGATTATCATAATTTGCTCAATTTTGCGCAGGTGCAGTTTGGGATGGTACCTGAGTATGAGCCTCTCAATAAAAGATAAGCTTGGAATGCAACAATTCGGGTACATGGATCTGCTTACTTTAGGGGCCACGCAAACGAGTCCAATCGTGGCCACAACTGCAGTAAATTTTTGGTCTCACTTCAGGTCGGATAATTCATGATCCTGCAGCCCGGATACATGCGATATGACAACTGCGCCTTAAGTTGTGGAAAAATCTCACCGCGAATCGCGATACAATTCTTTGAATCCGTCCACTTCATTCGCATGAACGCCCTCCAGCATAGTTGCTACATCTGTTTCACAGTCCGCAGGTCTCGTCCATGGATCTCTGATAAAAGTCGGCAGACTGATCTGGTGGCCTTCTCATCGGAGACATTGGCAAATCCTGCTAGAGTGAGAATTATGTATGGCAAGGCCCTCGCTGTCGAGCATGTTGGATCCGAAGCCTACACCTGGGACTTGGGTGCTTTTACTGTAGGTGGTCAGATCCGCTTACATACAAAGCTCATCTTCATCACTAGGAACTTGATACAAATCTGTGGCTGCTGCTTAGTCGGAGGTCTACTGGAATGCCCGTTCAGTGTTCGTAAGGTTATGGCCCCAATTGATTCCTTTCATAATGATTTCTTTTGAGTCCAGTCCAGTATCCTCCATTGATGGAAGCGTTCAGGATCTTACTACACAGCATTCAAACCTCGAGATGATCATAGTTTACAAAGTTGTAGTTACAGAATCAACAAATTGACATGCTCCTGCTCGCCGCC